TTAATTATTATTATTAAATCTATATTTATTACTATTATTCTATATAAAAATTGTTTAATACTAGATAGATAAGTAAAATAATAATTAAAAAATAATAATAACAATATTAATAATAATAATAATAATAAAAATTCAAACAAATATGAAATAAAACAAATATTAATTTTCCATGTTTTGGACTTTCTGAAAGAAAGGAATTAAATAATGTCGATTTTAATACCCACCTTTCTGATCCAGAACCAGATCCTGTATTGCTTCCTGAAGAAGAGCTATCACTCTTACTTTCATTTTCAGAATCAGACCCCGATTCTTTACCAGATTCAGACTCTAATGTTTTCTGTAAGTTAATCAGACCAATCTAATATTGTTTTATTTTCAAAAATACATAAGTCGCAATGTGTTGTTTGGAATAGTTTTTATATAATAATATTAATATAACTGTATTTTTTAATTATATATAATATGTTCTTTAGAATTAGCAGTTCTTTAGATTTATTTAAATATATTTTGAAAGTAATAATATATAATATCCTTTCTTGTTTTGTGTATTTTTAATGTTCAGAATATAATTTGTACATAAATTAGCAGTGCCATCTATCAAGAGAATCTTTCCTCCATTTTGTAATTCTTGACCACCATCTTGTAGTTAAGAATTACTTAAACAAAACTCCTTAATGATCCATTATATACACTCTAATAAAATTAGCAGCGTATTACATTTGATTTTGCATTTTTAGATTATATTCAATTACATATCAATAAAGAAATAAATTCATATTAATATAAATCAAGCAATATATTAAATAAAAAGATAGTTACATATTTACATATATTAAAGATAAATTTACTGTTTAAAAATTATAGATTTTCTCTTTATCTAAAAAATTATTCATAATAGAAATATAAAAATTCTTTCATTATTTATTTTATGTAACTATCTTAAATAATGAAATGGCAGAAGAATTCTGCAGGACTTTTTGTAAGTGATTAATCCAAAATATATAGAATAGTTTCCTGTAAATAACCAACATAAGATAGGTATTTTAGAATAATATAATTCACCATTTTTAAATACTATACATATTTATTAAACAATTCAAGTACATTATGTACAATATTTATCTGATCTTAAAATTTACATTTGTTTATTAAATTTAGTATACAAGTTAGAAAAAATTGTATCCAAAATATTTTCATAATCAAAAGTTATTATCAATTTTAATATTAGAATAATACTTGTTTTTATATTTAAATATTTTTAGCAATAAAAGAATGATAAATAATCTCAAATTTATGTTGAAAGAAATACAAAAATACAAATCTGTTATATGAAGCACAATACTATTTGAAAATAAACTTTCCGTTACATTTCATAAAAAAAATTTATATTTTAACTCATAATAATGTGTTTCATATAACAGAAACAAGACTTTCATAGAATAATTATTTCTTCTAAAATTTAATTTCTTTAATAAAATCTTTCAACTTTACTTATAAGATTTTTTATTACAATAAAAACTGTTTTAAACTCTAGAATGTACTGAATATATAAAAATTGAAATATTATTATTCAAATTTTATATTATACTTTATTTATTAATGATAAAAATACTAATGAATAACTATTATATGTAACAAAAATATTTTTCTATGCATAGTATGTATATAATAAATGTATCTTTTTAACTTAAGAAAGAATAAATTTTAAATACTTATTAAATTGAATTTTATTCTTTCTTTAATATGATTTAAGTAAGATAATATCAATTTTTATATGATATTAAATAATTATTTTCTACTTTTGCAAATCCCAGAATTTAATTTTGTTACATGTTTTGATAAGAATATATTTTGCACTATTATATATTAAATATTATATAACTATAAAAATATTCTTAATAAAACAAATGTAAAAACATTTTTTTGCATATTACACTAATTTTAATAGAAATTATCTTTTATACATCTTTTATACATTTTTAATCCATATATATGAATCATTATTTCTTTTAGTTTTATATCTTATCTTTACATAATTTTATTGAAAATAACATTTAAAATTATTAATGTTTTACAACAAATTGCTATGTTTCTTTTATGTGCAAATTCAAAATAAATTTGTGATATATTTCACAAGTTTATACAAACCCAAGATTTTATGAAAGACAAAGAATAAACAAAAAATAAGATTTTATTCATAATATATAAAAAAAATCTTGAAATATCAGAGAAATCTCTGGTTTTCCTAAAGGAAAAACTCAGAATATATGAAATATTTTCTACATGAAAAGCATGTAATTGCCAAGAGCTTTTACAGGTGATTGTGCTACACAGTCTCTAACTATAATGTAGAGAATGTATATCAATCTTTGAGCTTAATTTGCAAAAATGGGTCTATTTAAAATTTTTGAATAAGCATAGGTCCAAGATAAAGGAGAATGCAAGGAATCATTTTTGATAAAAATTAGTGTGGAACAATGATATTTTAAGTGATAAATGTCAAATTGAACGAATGTAAACAAACTTATAGGTTATTAAGAGCCTAGAAACTATGTAAAATTGCAGAAAATTATGATTTGGTGGAGACAAGTCTCTGAGCTCATAAGGTCAATGAGACCCCGCCCTATATGCAGAAATCTTTTAAATAAAATTACAATGATTTTTTACATTTTTACGAGGATTTTTGTCCTTGTAGTTTAATGAAACGCATGTGACAACGCGACTTTTCCCTACTCCAAACAACACCGCGGCCATATCACGCAAATTGATCATTAAAACAACATTGATGCTCGTATCGGCTACGAAAACAAACAATTATTGCCAAAAAAAATTGAAGAAAAGCTGAAACTTAAACAATTTTCGAACCCGACCACTCACCTGCATCGTTCCGTCTGCGCGTCGTACCGATATCTCGATATTACACACACCACGCACAAAACCACGTTAATTTAATAATTAAACTGCCGTGTATACACGTATTCGTAATATTAAACGACTATTGATGTACAAAGTCGCGACATCGTGCAAAATTATCGAATTTTCACGTACTATATGGTCACGGGCCTGAGCTTGGCCGCCATTTTGTGAACTCGACTCGTTCTTTCGCCCTCCCCGACCGTCCTCCCGTCTATCATCCCATCATGCAACGCGCGCGCGCTCCTCCCTTCCCCTCTTTCATCTACACCCCAAACTAAAATGAAGGCCCTGCAAACGTGATAAAAATTAATATTTTTAAGAACATAATATTAACATCTGAAAAAATAAATTTTGCTATAAAATAATAATTATATACTTTAATTTCATTCTCGAATTTAAAAAAAAAAATATCATTTTAATCAATTGCATTAAAACGTAGTCATAAAACGGAAATCGTTGTATGACAGCCATTTTGATTACTCAGAAAGATTTTACCCAGAATGCCTGGCGAATTTTTCGATTACTTTGTATATGCGCAATTATGACGATCAAATAAATCATACAACAAAATCTCTTTATATACGCAATTTGCTTTAACTTTTTCGATTTATTTTATTCATTTATATCTTAAAATATATAAAATAAATTGAAATTTTATAGTTATAATAGTAATTTAATGAATTTTAAAATTTGAATATAAAAATTATATATAATTATATTTATATAAAATTATATAGACAAGTTTAATCAATAACAACATATACAAAAATCATTAATGTATAATATTATTTTCGAGCTCAGAGACTTAATCTCATTTTTTAAGACATAATTATAAAATATGATAAACTGAAAATATATAATTATATGAACGCCAATAGTGTCACCATGCAAAGTGAATAAGCAATCATATAAAGCAACATAATATGTAAAAGCTGTTGTTTTACATCAGATTGGGTAGAGACAAAAGTCAAATTTGATTGAATTGAAACAATAAAATATATTAGTTACTTTAAAGAGGAAAAAATTATTTCTAATAAAACAAGTAATTTTACCCGGTCCAATGAAAACCAGCTTGTCTTTTCGCAGGCGATGAAAGTAACGTATTATGACGAGAATGAAAGACGAAAAATATTACCCAGACACCCGTGGCACCTCATACCGGAAAAGGAAGAAAAGCCTACAAATTCGATATACGATTATTTACAATTTCCGGTCGAAAATCGATTCATCATTCGACTTTAAATATCGATTATCTCATTTTATGATAGGCGCGTAAAATAATTACATAAAATTGTTATAGATTTATAAAATATTTAAAAATAATAAAATAATATAAATATATATAGATTTAAATATAATAATTATTTTCTTATTGCATTTAAATTTTGTACTTAAATCTAAATTATATATATAATATTTTATATTTTTTAATTAATACACAGAACTCTTTAATAAGTATTAAATAATAAAAGTTAAATAAAAAAAATAAAATTAATTATATAAATTTTTGAAAATTAAAACATGTAATAAAATTTTGATTATCCAATTTTTATGATCCAACATCTTTTGTTTATTAATTTTGTATTCTTCTTTCAAATTTTTATTTCTATAATTTTTTTTTTCACTAGATTTTTCTCTATCACTTTTTGAAATTGTTGTTGGATACTTATTATAGCTGATATTATTGACATCATTTGATATATCATAACTAACATATATAATTACAAATGAATATTCAAAATATAAAAATTAAAAAAAATTAAAAAGAAAATTAAAAATAATTTGTATAAATAACACATTTCTGTTATATTTTCTTGCGGATCTCGATTTATTCGCACTATTTGTTCTACTATTTAAATCACAATCTTATTATATTTAAAAAAATTAAATATATTTAATAAAAACAAATTAAATGTATTTTCTTTATTTACATTATAATTTTAGTTTGTTTACAATTTTCAATGTACATAATATGACTTAATTTGAAGAATGAGATAAAAAATATTGATGTAATGTATATATAACAAATCATATTTATATACATATATAGTATATATTCTACGTATATTTAGCATATATAAATATTAATACCTGTAAATATTCATATCAGAACTTTTAATTATTCAATGTAATATATAGGGGAAATTTTATCACATATTACTAAATAATTATTCTGTTTAATTAACAGTTTATAATATTCACACTTCCTATAATAACTCAAAATTATGCAGCAATTCAGTCTTAAAATAACTCAAAGCATAACAATAGTGTAATATTATTACAATAAGAAAAAGCCAATAAAGATAAAAATTTTGTATTCATTGTCCAATGACAATATTTTATTATAACATATTCATGGTACTAAAGGATACTTGCACAAATGAGTCATGAAAGTTAACACATGTTATTTACAGACACGTGTAATTATTCAGCACTAGGCGTTTCTCCTGTAACTTTTGTAGATGCTTCATCTATCAATTCTTTAGCTTTTGCATCTGGTAACCAAAGACCACTATCAACACATCGTTTCATATGATAAAGTGCTTCTTGTCGTGGCATTACTGCTAGAGTTTCTTGTAATAAAGCATGATCTTGTGTTTCAAAGCATTTTTGTAAAGGCTAAAAATAATATAATTAATATAATTAAAGCTAGTTACAATATATTAAAATATTAAATTACTAAATTAATATTTATTAATTAAGATAAATATTATATTAAAATAATAACATATTCATGATAAAATATTTTGTACCTCTGGTAGACTTTCAAATACTTCAACTGGATCAAGACCACCTGGACCACGACGTGCCTTTTTTTCTTCTTCTTCAGCTTCTTTAAGAGCATCTGCTACTTTCTCAGCAGCTCTCTTACGTATTCTTTCTTTAAATGCTCTTAATTCATCTTCAAATGAATTTCTATGTTCTAATTCAGCATTTTGAATACGACTGAAGAAGGAACCTACACATGCTCTTGGATCAACATCTAATTGTTTTGATAATTCCAAAATACATTGCATACATATACATTGATGAGCAACATGTTCCATTAAATCATGTTTCTAAAATTTATAATATATTATGATAAAATAAATTTATATAATAATTATATTCATAAATATGTAAATATGTACTTACTTCTTCTATTTCTAAATTAATACACCAAATAACTAAATAATTTGCAGTATTTTCACATACTAAATCAGGATTATCTGCTAAAAATTTCTTACTATCCTCATACCTTCTTAGCATGCCAAATTCTTTTAATTTTTTTTCATTTTCTTTTACAAATTCTTTCATTTTTTTTTCTTTTTCTTCATCTGATAAACCATTGTCATCTCCTTTACATGGTGGTCTTTTATTAATTACTGTTTTTGTAAAACCATCTTGACCAATAGTATCAACATTCCAAGGTGTTAATTTCTCTTTTTTTTTCATTTCCTCTTCTTTTTCTTGAATTTTTTTCTCTTCTTGTTCAAGATCATATAGAACTTTTTTTAATGCTGTCAAATCTGCTGAATCTTTTTGTTCTCTTTCTAATTTTGCAAGTTTTTCCTCTGTTTCTTTTAATTTTTGTAGGGTTCTGTAAATAATTAAAAATTAAAAAAATTTTTAAATTAATAATAAAATATTAGTACTACGAAATAATTTATTTGTATATATTGAAGATAATTTACTCTGCTTTTTTTCTTTCATGTTCCTCTTGTTCACGTTTTCGTTCTTCCATCCTTTCTAGCCTTGCTTGATGACGCCACCTAAATAATGATGGTGTATCAATATTTGGATGAGTATCATCTTCATCATCTGAAATCTGATAAATGTTAACATCACATTATTAACTTATATATATTAAACTTTATATAAATTATTTTAGATATATAAATAGATATATAAATATATTAATTATAAATAACAACATTTATTGTTTTATGAAAATTTAAAAAAAATATATAAATTATAAAAATTAATATATGCGTTAATAGAAAAAATTTATATTAAAAAATGTACATCATTTTTTCAGAATTTATGAAGAATAAGTACATAGATAACAAAATTTTGATTAAAGTTATATTAAATATGTTTAAATTTAATAATTATTTTTTATACTTTTTCAAGTACTCAAATAAAAAAACACTCGAAATTTCTACTATCACTCTAGAATATTCCATAAGCATACTGGACCAAAACTAAGATTCTTACTTCAATATCTTTCCATTTACTATAATCCACCATCGTTCAACCGATTAAATTACTTTTTATTCAATTATGTATTTTTGTGGAAATGACTATTTTATAAATGTAATTTATGTATAAAGCGTTTTTTTCTTCTTTATTTTCACAAAAGCAGAAACACAACGCCCATACTTGTCGAAGTTTAATTGTCAACTGTACTAGCATGAATATATTCGCGCGAGAGTCGTTCGATCTATCATATCAGGGATTCTCAATTACTTAAATGATAAATTATATCGAATACATGAAATTTGAATTGAAACTAATGTTCATAATTCATTTTTTATGATAAATAAATTGAATTACATAATAATAATAAAAAATATTTTTATACTTTTTAACATAGAATTATATCATTTATAAAAACAATTTATATATTATAATTTAATTTATGAATTTATCATTAAATATGTTTTATAAATTTAAATATATACTATATAATTTTTCAAAGTTAACATACTTTAAAAAATTATGTCTTAAAATAAAGTGTTAATTTTTATATTAAAATTATATACATATAGTAAGCATGTGCAATTCATTTATACTGAATTTGGCATTGTATATGAATATAGATATTTTGAATTTTCTATTGCTTAAGTGAAAAAAACATTTCACTTAATTTTTATTTAATACATTTTATAGTTTAAAAAAATGATTGGTATGCGAATGAATGCATTCAACGATACAGGACTTGGTGAACCAGAACAAGATGCAAATTCTGCTCTTATAGAATTAGATAAAGGTATGTTTATATATTATTTTTAAACTTAACCTTATATTAATTTTACCATAATTTTTACAAAATATTATTGTATTAATAATAAAATAATATATATAATAAATAAAATTATTAATAAGTACTTGTTAAATATAAAATTTTAATAAAAATTTAATACAACGTTTAATAAATAAATCCTTTTGTACAAAAAAAGGAAAAATTTTTGAAGTTTATTTTGCAAAGATTATTTAATAAAGATATTTTTCAGGTTTACGTTCCACAAAAATTGGTGAACAATGTGAAGCCATAGTACGATTTCCTCGATTATTCGAGAAATATCCTTTTCCAATATTGATAAATTCTTCTCTTTTAAAATTAGCAGAAGTTTTTCGTACTGGCAGTAATTTTTTACGTGTTTGGGTTCTCAGAGTATGTCAACAAAGTGAAAAGCATTTAGATAAAATTTTAAATGTTGATGAATTTGTCAGACGTATTTATAGTGTGATACATTCTAATGATCCAGTTGCTAGAGCTTTGACTCTACGAACTCTAGGCAGTGTTGCTGGTATTATTCCAGAAAGACAACAAGTAAAATATTAATAATTGTTATAATTTATGTTCCATTTTACAATATGTATAAATAAAAAAATTATTTTATTTATAAGGTTCATCATAGTATAAGAAGATCATTAGATTCTCATGATTCAGTTGAAGTTGAAGCTGCAATATATGCTGCACAAATGTTTGCTGCACAATCAAAATTATTTGCTGTTTCCATGTGCAGTAAAATATCCGATATGATTAGAGGTCAAGCAACACCAGCATCAATGAAATTACAACTTATACCTATTTTACAATATATGCATCATGATACTTTTACAGCATCAATGGTTTGTAATAATTGTAAATATCAATTTTAATTTTTAATAACATATAAATAAATTGTATAAAATTATAAATTTTTTAAAGGTAAATGAATTATGTATGGAACTTCTTGCTAGTTATCCAGCAGTTGAATTTGTCAGAGTTACATTAAGTGCTTTAAGCACATTAGCTTCTGCAACATTGATTGATGTTCCACAACAAGTTGCACTTTTATTACGTTATCTACAAGATGACCCAAGATTAACTATTAAACGCCATGCATTACATTTATTACATTCTTTAGCAAGAAGAGGAGCTCATTTATGGCCACAAGGTGCTCTTAATAATTTGATAGGTAAATATAATGAATAATAATTAATTTTGTATAATAAATAAAAAAAGATATTTTAGAAATTTCTTGTTTTAGAGAGCACTACAACACTCTTACAAGATGGAGCAGGAAATAAAGATCTTCTTATTCGAACATTAGACGTAATTGAGGTTACCATTTATTTGTCAAATAGTAATGAAAACATATTTTTTTTTAATATAAGAGAGAATTAAACAAATAAGTTTTTGAAATTATTTAATTTAGGTACTTAGTCAAAGTGCAGTAACATGTGATGCAAATAGAGAAGAAGGAAATCCTCTTTTATCATTATGTGTAAATGCTTGTTATTCGCCCGATCCATTTATTGCAGTGAAAGCAATTACTATTTTAGCTAGAGTTGCATGTTATTGGTATATATTTAATGATTCTTATATCAGCGAGAAATGAGATATGTATACTCGAAGTTCTTATATTTTATTTATAGCTATGAAGAAAATTTACCAGCCTATGGAATACAAGACGTCGTATCTTGTCTTGAATCTCTAATTGTACTTTTAGCTTTGGATGATAAGTATTTACATCAATTGAAAGTTTGTCTACGTTCAACAGTAAAATTATGTCGGGCACAACCTAGCCATTGTTCGATATTTGTCGATGCTATCGGTAGTACACTTTTCAATGCCCATGCTGAAGGCAGTCAAAATGAGAAGCAAGCGCTTGCTTTATGTGAAGCATTAGGTGCTATAGGAAGTTTAGGAGAAAATGCATTACTTCCTCTTTTACCAGATATATTAATAAAACTTAAACAGACTGTACATGTACATACAAAGGTAAATTTATAAATGAAATGTAATATTTCATAAAAAATATAAAAATATATAAATTTTTTTTTAAAGGTAATGTTATGTACATTACTTTTTCAAATGGTAGCTGGAGGATATGAATGGAATCCAGAATGTTTAGAAGCAGTAGAAGAAATTATTAAAAATGTAGATGGTTGGGCCAAATATCGAATTGCACGTAGTGCTGCAAGATATGGCCATCATATAATAGCAACTCAAATATTTAGAAGTTTAAAAGAAACAGTTGCATCTGAACAATTACATTTTTGGTTGTCTGGTTTGGAATTAGTTACAAAAGCTGAAAGTTATCTTATGTTAGTTTCTATATGTTTTTAATAATTTATTTTATAAAAAGTATATATCTATTTTTTTAAATTTTAACAGGGAGAAAACAGAAGAAGTGGAAAGCAAAGCAAGAGTTTATACTGTAGAGAAATTAAATGGAGCTATTGCGCGCTATGCAAGTGCATGCGCTTCATTAAAAGCTGCTAGTACACCATTACGAAGTTTACAATTTGCTAGTGAATACTCAAAATTGCGATGTGAATTTCTTCAAGCTATTGTACAACTTTTACATTCATGCAGGTATCTTGAATGAATGAATATCATAAAAACAATTATTTATTATTATTATTATTTTTAATTTTATCAATATAAATTAATTATGATTTAGATCTCTTTGTACAGCTCCACCACCTGCTATTACATGTACAGTAGTTCTAACTACAAAAGATGATCTTCAACGATATGGACGTGTTACAAATCAAGTACATTACTTGTATAATTTTAATTACATTTTAAACGTTTAATTTAAACTAATAACGAATAATCTATATTTTATAGTTGAGAAAATCAGCTCAAGAACTCAAAAATTGTGCAGAAAACTATCAGAAACTCTATCAATCAGCTTTTGATGCTGATCCAGGTTCATTGACGAACATACGAGCGTATCCTTTATAAAAATATATTTATTAATTAATAATTTTTAATTTATCTATATCTGAAATTATTGTTATATCTGATTTACGCATTTTAATACGTATTTTCTTAATTAACTACATATAGATTGCAAGAAATTTGTCGTTTATTAGCGAATAGTGTTGAACGTGTTTGTGGTGGTACAGGAATTCAAACATATCATCAAACCGAAGTAAATTTTAATTTTGGTGATACAGTAGAAATGCGTCAATTGGCTCGTTGTTGTACTGAATTACGTCGTTTAGCTCCAACTTATATAGGTGAAAATAAAGCAGCGGCACTTAGTCATTCAAGAATAAACTGCTTAGTTTCGCAAGTAATGTTATTAGCTGGAACAAAAATGAGATTACCAATACCTCGGTATTATTTTCAAGCTTTACAAGCAACTAGTGTGAAATTATCTGTTTCGCCACAACCTCGTGTTCTTGGTGAACCAGTATCTGTACCTCAAGGAAGTCAATTAGCTTTAAAAGTCGAAGGGGTGCTACGACATGGTCGACGCGCTTCTCTTTATCGTTCTGTTGCTGCTGTTTGCATTTCTATTTCTACTTCTCCTCCATCGAAGATAAATTCAGATCAAAAAGTATGAATTAATGTTTTTTATAATAAATCCTTTATACATATTTATTTTAATATTTAATTTTATTATTTTATTATAGGATTCTAATGTTAACGAATTACAACAAACTGTCACACCACATCGCGATTTTTTTGCTTGTGAATTTTTACTTTCATTAGGAAGTCCAGGTACAACTGCTACAACAACATGTGCGAGTAATACCACTAATGTGAATAATAATATGAATAGTAGTGGTGGACAATATCAAGTCACAGCAAGCGCGAGTATACTCGATAAAGATGGCAATGTGTGGAAATGTGGACCACGTTCCACGCTTCAAGTTAGGGTTCACGAAGAGCCAGCCAAAAGAAAATTACCATAAAGATATATGTTTATGTATTTTTTATTATAAAACATTGTTATAAATAATTGTTTTCAAAAGTATTGTATACGAAATATATAATAAAAAATTATACTTTGATATTTTAATCAAAATTATAATATTTTATAATTAATTATTTTCTTATAAAAAATTTCTTATACTTTATAATAATTAAATTTCTTTTTATATTTAAGTTAATTTAGAAAAAGAAATTTTATAAACACGATAAAATATATTTTTATTACGATTCGATAGAAAGTAAAGAATCGAATAAAGGAGTAGCGATAGTCGACGTATGAGTGGACGCGCTATGAGAAAGCCTATAAAAGGGAGATTGCAAGGGTGTTCGGCGCACAGTCGTGCACCGTCTGTCCGTTAGTACGGTACGCGTCACATCTTGACATTTGTGCAATACTTGATCCAAGCATCATCTCGAGAAGAGCAACAGTTATGCCCTCAGATCATTGTATCATTGACTGACAAGATCCAATAATAGATTTCGTCACGCGTTTATGCGCGGTAAGTAATATTATTTTTCTTTTTAATCTTAAATCTTTTTAATCTAAACATTTTTTAGCTATAATAGAAAAACATTTTAACACAGTTAACAAAAAACAGTTAAATTAAGAATTTCTTTGAAAAAATGCAATTTTTATTAAAAAAAATTTGTTATTTTATTTTAATCAGTGTCTTGAAATATTTTTGATATTTTTGATATATTTTTTAAATTTTATTTTCATAGCTTGACTATTTTAATACTATGGAATTATAACATCTAATAGGAAGATGTATAATTTTAAAGTCTGAATATTAATATTTAATAATTTATATCGAATTTAAATCAACATACAATGTTAAATTGCGATATAAAATTCAAAACGTAACAGATAAGAAACTGAGAAACCTTATAAGAAGAATTATAATAAATAATAAAAATAATTATATTCTTTTAAGAAAAATTTGTTATAATTTATATCTCTTTGAATTAATTTTTATGATATTTGATTGAAACAAAGAAAACAAAAACATCAAAAACATTTTAGATTTATTAATTAAAATTAATATTACAGTAGCAAGAGATAATTAATATTTCTAGAAAGACATATATACCAATTCATACATTTAAGGCAATTAACTAATATAAGTGTTGCTTTTAAACGATTACACGTAACGTGAAATTGCGCCTTTTTTCTTGTATCAAAAGACTTGCGTGGTTTATTCGAATGTGGTAAGCATGCATTTTTATATCTTGTTACAAAATTACAAAAGTAATATAGTATAAACACATCGGTACATAAATGTCATCAAATAAGAATAAGAGAAAATTTTATTTTTTATGCATTCGTATCGTTGGACAATTATAAATTCGTAGTATTGAAAAAAAAAGAAAAATATTCCACGAATATTTTAAGATATACAGTTTAAACTATATATCAATAGAGAATTAGAATTAGAATTATATTTTACAAAAGAGAGCGAGCATTGAAACTTATAATTGTTTCGTACATTCACGTTACGTATTGGCGATCATCATGGAAACGAAAAATTTTCTTGTGCGCAATATCCTTTGTATTTTATTTCAATGTTGCATTGCTCAAAGTACTTACGCGCTCTTCGTTTCTTTTTTTCAATTATCTTCGCACACGTTACGTGAATGCTGTTATACACTTTGCCATAGGGATGAAGACTCGCCAAGCATAATGTACAATGACTGTACCAGCGAGCACTACGGTACTAAGCATTGCGGTTTAAGCTGCACGCCGATGCATGTGCCGTGATTCGAACTACGCTTGCAAGCACCGAGTAGTTGTGCTAAATGGTTCGCAAACTAATGTTCAAAATTCGGGCAATGTCGCGATGATAGTGGAAGTGCGAGGTCGAGAAGTGGAATGGGGATGGAATGAGGATAGGGAAATAGAAGGAGGAAGATGAGGGAGAGAAAAAGAGAGAGCGAGAAAGAGAAAAAGAGAGAGAGAGAAAGAGAGAGAGAAGCTGGCAGTAAGTGATGTCTACGAAGTCCTTCTTAGTTAAAAGTTTTCAAGATTGAATTAAATAAAACTGCTACGATGTTTCCGTTATCCTGTTTTTCCCTATCTTTTTATCACTTTTCATCAGGTAGCGTTGCAATGAAATGACTTTCGAAATAATTAGCACGGGAAATTCGAGAATCTGTGAAATTCGAGAATCGACGTTGATGAAAGTAATGATTCGTGTCTGTGTAACGTTTCATCTCAATTTTTTTCTTCTTTCCTTTTTATTTTTCGCTTAATTATGAAGCTGTTGACAAAATGGGAAAGAATTTGGAATTTACGGGAATGGATAAATCCCTCCCATTCGAATATCGTTATGTGTCCTGTTGAACGCCTATTGGATTTTATATAGTTGTAACAGGAAATGGAAACAAGGTTCAGTTTATTTTTCTATGCATAGCAAATCTCATTTTCTTCGTACGTAGGTTTATGCGAAACAGATATCTTATTCCCATCCGTGCAATCAAAATAGAAGATTTCTAGATATTCTTCAACCCAGATACGCAATATCATGAACGCAATCCCTTGTTCTACACTGTTGGTATGCATGAATAATCCGTAAACAGATATGCAATCTCTAAATGATTTTTTTCTAACATTTTTTTTTTTCCGCTTAAAAATTTTTTCTTCTTCATCAATTATTAGTTTCTCAAAGAATGAAAATGCATAAAATAGATGGAAAGGTTCAAGTTTTTAATGCAAATTTCAACTTACAACCGCTACCATTAATGGATCCTGATTCACGTCCATGCTTTACTTTTTTTCTTAACCTCCCTTCCAACGGGTAATTGCTTTTATATCTAAACCAGTGTTCTTTACGAGATACGCTCTGTAAATTGGGCTTATTTTATTAACATTACACTGTATCGCATTTACCGTATATTCGAACAAAAGGGTACATTCAGAAGATATATTAGAAGCTGCGCATAGATGCAATCCAGAGGATCGAATAACGACGTGACTGCCGTGATATTGCATTTGCAGTGGGGAGGGGAGGGGGAGGGAGGGGGGGGGGAAAGAAGGGAAAGGGGGGAGGGGGCAACAGATATTAAATGGTGGTAGAAAATTTCTGACCATTACAAAAAGATCAAACAACAACGCGACAAACAAGGAGCGCGTAAAACGAATGACGTAACACGCTTTGAAAGTTGTTGTAAAAAAGATAAACCGATTTTTTTTTTTTTTTTTTTTTTTTTTTTTTTTTTTTTTTTTTTTTTACCCTCTTTCGCGTTTCGAAATTGGCTATTCTATACCCACGGTTATTCTCCAATTAAAAGGTGCTTTAATTTCATCGAGCTTTACTACGATGTTTGTTCCGATTCGATCACGTTCATCGAGGCAAACATAAAGTCCTTCAAAGGTTTCGAATCGCGCATCCCTCCTCCCCCGCGATAAAAAAATTCCAGGAACGAAAATTGCGCGAATAAACGAATCTAATAAAAAAAAAAGAAAAAGAAAAAAGAAAGAGAGAGAGAGAGAGAGAGAAAGAAAAAAAGAACAAACCTTCGATGATCCTCGCTTAATCAACGACGTTTCTCCCTAGTGTGTCCTGTGAAAATCGAACCGCCTTATTGCAGCCCGTACACTTCTAATTTCACCAATGGTACGCTTGTTTCTGCACCCTTTCATCGGGCTACACGCTGCATCGAGACAGGAGCGGTGTTATATAGGGGGAAGTGACGAAAGTGAACGACAGGAATAATGGACAGGTTTGGCTAGAGTGGCTTTCCGTTCGGTAGAGGCATTTGTTCCACCGACAGTAACTCGTGCCCATAATAAACATGCCGTGCCAGCAGATTGACTGATGATACTGTTCTCCGTTAGATGTTATTGGTCGTTCCTATTTTCACCATCGACTCCTATTCGATACATCGACGGATGCCGGTAATTATTACGCTCGCACCTCTTCTTTTTCCCCTCCCCTCTCTCACTCTGGTGTCAAAGATTTATCTTCGAATGGACCTCGAACTCGGTGTCTAAACTCGGTTGCTCGTAGACATATGGATGGGGAAAAAAAAAAAGAAAAGAAACGAAAAAAAAAGAAAAAAAAGCAAGAAGTGGAAGTTTATCGAGGGAGCTCGATTTCGTGGGTAAAGTGACGATAGTTGGATGAAAGTTGAGACGCGAGAGCAACTAGTCGAATTCAATTTAGCCCACGAAAAGGTAGAAAATGGTGAAATTTCGCATTACAGAGTCGTATCGCGTGTCTGATTGAGTAAGAACGACAAGCAGATATAATTAGGTTCTCTCGCTAACCAACGGGGAAATAAAATTTTTCTTGAATCGGACTTCCTACGTGGCGAGAAGAGAAACCGTGGTGAACACGTTCTCGTTTAGGGAAGAAAAAAAGGAAAAAAAAAAAAAACAAGACATTAAAAAAGAGAAAAGAAAAATCTAAATGCGTTACTTTGAATTCATTTAAAATTTATTTGTTCCCATAGATAGAAATCTGTGACTAGCGATACGGATTTTATATTGTATTTCTGGCTGTTCGAAATTTTTTATTTAACCGGTAGAACGATTGAATGCTTTGGCGGGGTTTGGAAGCCAGAAAAGAGATCTCTCACGGGTATTGAGGGGAAACATAGAGAGAGAGAGAGAGAGAGAGAAAAGAGAAAAGCACTCGAATCTCGGAGAAAAGCGCAGTGCGGGAATTCCCTCGGGCACGATCGTCATTATCATAATTTTTTCTCAATGTCGCCTAACGAAGGTGACACTGAATGCGTAGAAGGCGTGCGTCGCGCATCGAGGCAAACAACAGGCCGGGCGAAACAGGTGGGGGTTCTCGAGCGAGCGAACGGGGTAAAGGGGCACCCGGTGTATCTCTCTGTGCACGGCTCAGCCGCGGGGTGCAACTTAATGAGCTTCCTGTGTTGGTTCCGCTTGTACCGCGTAACTCGCGTCTCTCGCTCTTTCGTTTTCGTCTTTCGCGTTTTCCACCCACCACCACCACCACCTTGTTCCCCTCCCCCTGTTCCCGCCCCTCGAGCTCAGTTCCGCGTCTGATCCTTTCAAAATCCGACTACTAAGCTGTCGTTTAGGATGCAGACGTTTATGATTGAAGGCAATTCGTGCGCGACGTTTGTTAAAACGCGATCACGTTCTCTCTCACTCCCTCCCTCCCTCCACAAGGGACGAGCGATTTTTTATTTTCGTTTCTCGAAGGGATTTTCTCCCTGCTACATTTTCATCTGAAATTTTACCGACAATGATTCCACATTATTCTCTTCCACTTAATCTTCCTTGACGGATCATCGACGGATTCCACCGCACCAGTATGAATCGCGGCTCGCTCCTATTGCATTTATGCCCGCGTTGAGATGCTTCGCCGATAATTTGCCGCGCACTTGACATATTATTGTATTAGAATCCATAATGGCCTATTTCCGTGTTCATTAATATGAAAACCAATTTACCGTATTGTACGCATGAAAATTCGATCGTTCGATCGATCGATCGATTTCTATCCCGATTGCGCTTGCGTGACAA